CCAGATGAGGCCCCCTGAGGGCTTTTATCAGGCCCTCAGTGGAACTGGCTGTCTTCTGCTTCTCCTTCCAGTTCTGCTGTTCCTGCTGTATCATAGGTTTGCAGCTTACAGATACACACCTGAACAGCACACTCAAGCTTGCAACAGCACAGACATTCTGATGCCATAATTCAGGGCAAGAGGTGTGAGTTTTATCAGACACTGTTAAATAAACAAAATATTGCAAGAGTGCTGATGTTTTAAGCATGTTTTTATTTTAAGGTTTTTTTAAAAAAAAACCCTTTGTGTTTGTGTCCTTTATGAAGTCTATATCTCTGCTACCTGGCATTACATTTCATAAAACACGTGGCTGGCCCAACAAGGTCTCATTTATGTCAGATCCAGCCCTCCTAAGAAATGAGTTCAACACCCCTGACTTAAGCAGAAAAACTCTCTTAAAGGAGTGCAGTTTCTTGACACAGAATTAGAAGGGATCCTAGAGGTCACTTACTCCAACCCCCTTGCTCAGTGCCTGGTCCTTTTAACTGGAGATGTCGGGGATTGAACGTGAGACCTTCTGTGTTCCAAGCAGAGGCTCTGCCACTGAGTCAGGGTCTAAGTCAAGGTTTTTCTCATCACCTCCTGCCTGGTCTTTTAACTGGAGATGCCGGGGATTGAACCTGGGAGCTCCTGCCTGCCAAGCAGAGGCTCTTGCTACTGAGCCCTGGCCCTGGCACCTTGAAGTTGAGTGTTATGATTGTAAATTGTGGTTTTATTTTTTAATGTGATCTATTTTTTATTTTTTAAAATTTATTTATTTTTATTTATTTTATGTGTTTAATTAGTATTGCAGGGAGTGTGGCTCAGTGGTAGAGCCTCTGCTTGGCATGCAGAAGGTGCCAAGTTCAATCCCCGGCCTCTCCAGTTTACAGGACCAGGCAGGCGGTGATGGGAAAGACCTCTGCCTGAGACCCTGGAGGGCCTCTGCCAGACTGAGTAGACAATGCTGACTTTGATGGACCAGTGGTTTGATTCAGTCGAAGGCAGCTTCCTGTGTGGTAGTATTAACATTGCAATCCACCTTAAACTCCATAAAGAAGAAAGGCACGTAATATAAGTTTAAATCAATATGTCTCTGGGGCTAGGATAGTAGACTGTTGTGAACGGGAGGTGGAGAATTCCTGGAGTCCACGGCCTGCTTCCCTAGGGCTGCCAAGTCCCCGGGGGGGGGGGTTGCCCACCCAAAGGGCCCCCAACCCGGATCAGGCCAGTGGGGGGGAACCCTGCCCCCAAAGTGCCCATTTTGGGCTGACGTGCCCAGCACGATGATGTCACTTCCGGCCGTTGGGCACGTCACCGGCCAACGCTCTAGCAATCAGCCTGAAAACTATGGTACCATAGAGTTTCCGGGCTTATTGCTAGAGCGTCGGCCTGCAACGTGCCCAACGTGATGATGTCACTTCCTGGTGATGTCATCAGGCTGCGTGTGAATCTCCCGGAACAAGACCAACTCTCTCCCACTACACAACGTGAGTGACTTGGCAACCCTACGCTTCCCACGGCGGAGAGCTGGCGGGTTTGGCACGTGTGTCTCGGCGCTCTGTCGACCGCGGCTCCTTCTCTTTGCAGGTGGAGATGCGCAAAGCGTTGACGGACTTCATCCAGGAGGAGATCCAGGCGCTGAAAGAGCAGGCCGAGCGGCTGCATCAGACCTTCAAACTCCAGAGCTAGCGGCGGGGCCAGGATGAGCATGGATTGTGCGCTCCCAGGGACACGATGGCAGGCGGTCTGTGCGTGGGACACTTCTCCCTTTAGGCCTCGAGTGGGACTTTCCTGCTTTGCCACCCGCCCGCCACCCAGGCCAGGCTACCTACGTACCGGCATTGCATGTGGGGGCACGGACGAAGGCTCCCCGGGCACCTCCTGCTACCTCCCCACTCATCCTCTCTCTTCGTGCCTCTTCAGGGGGAATTCAGAACTGCTACTGTGTGTGCCATTCCCAGTTGCCAAAAGTCAGTGATGATGCGGGGGAGGGGGGTGTCTCATGTTCTTTGGTGTTAGTGGAGCATGTACAGAAGCAGGACGTTTTTTGGGGGTGGGAACGGGGAGTAAACTCAGGCTTTCCTTCCCTCCTTGCTGTGGTCTTCCCTTCCCTGGCTTCCATTGGCCAGTGGCTGCTGGGAGGACAGGTGGGCTTAGGTTAGCCTGTCTGCCCTGGAGAAAGATGGGCCCGGGGGCGGTTTTTAAAACTCCAGATCTTTTCCCAGTAAATGATTCCAAACCGGAGAACTGCAGCCTCTGCTGGTTTGTGTGGGGGTGGAGCAGAAGCAGGGCTGAAAGGCGTCTTTCCACAGGCGCGTTGGGCTTCTGAGCAGGGGGATGAAGGAGGGGGTGGAGCTGTCCTCTTTACAGCCGGACGCCTCTGCTTCCAACTCCGGCAGAGCGGTCCCACCTACGCCCACAGTGGAGACCGATTGCCCGCAACTCAGGTAGGCCCTCTCCTTCACCTGTGACCTCTCTGCAGGGTGGACTGCACTGCAGAGCCAGAAACCTTGTACAAGGTCCGTGTACAAGGTTTCCCAGCACATGCCACCCTCCTGCCTTTCCTAAAACCCTTCCCAAGACGCTTTTCTCGCCCCATCTCGGTTTCAACCACTGCCACCACCTGGCCTTGGGAGGAATTGCCAACTGGGAGGACCAGGGCTCCTAGCTTCCCTTCGCTGTGTGCCTGTGTCTCCCGCTGCCCAGCATCTGGAAGTTTATGTGGTACAGAGAACCTCTACCAGCATTAAAAATTATAAAGCATTTATTCGAAAGAAAATGTCCTCTCAGCACAGCAACAGACTGAGCAGGGAATCCAAAAGAGAAAGAGTAAAACGCAAATTGCCTGCCCTTCCGTCTGTACATGCCCTAGTGGATGTGATAGCAAGTGTGGTGCAGTGGTTAAGAGTGTCAGACTAGTATCTGGGAGACCCAGGAGATCATCTCTCCCCCCCCCCCCCCCACTGGCCAGGTTAAATTAGCTTTTCCTGATGTCTCCAGGAAAAGATTTATTTATTCTTTCTTTTTCCATTCTGCTCTCCCCTGCTATTGTGGGGCTCAGAGTGGATGACCTCACACAATAAACAATTTAAAATACAATTAAAAACAGATATCACAAATTCAGGTCTATACAATTAATCAGATGGCGTATAACAACATTGACTGTACCAGCGGAAGGAAAAAGGGGGGGGGGAGGCAGGAGGAACTATATAAATAGGAGCTCCCCTGGACGTAACCGTACGCTTAATGGTACATCTTCGTTTTACAGGCCCTGTGGAACTGAACTAAGTCCCGCAGGGCCCAGGTCTCGCCCAGAAGTGCATTCCACCAAACTGGGGTTATTGCCGAAAAAGCTCTAGCTCTGGTTGAGGCCAGGCGATTATTCCTTGGCCCCGGGATCATCAGTGTGTTGTTATTTGAAGAGCATAGTGCCTCTCAAGGGGTGTGCCAGGAGAGGTGGTCCCAAAGATATATTGGTTCCAGACCAGGGTTTTCGTCCTCCAAAACTCTGTTCCCTGCTAGATGTCACCTTGTCCATTTGGAGAGGTGTGTGCAGGAGACCTGACCATCTCACTGTATCTAGCCAGTTTGGTGTAGTGGTTGAGTGCGCGGACTCTAATCTGGGAGAACCGGGTTTGATTCCCCACTCCTCCAGTTGCACCTGCTGGTGTGACCATGGGTCAGTCACAAGCTCGGGCACAGCTGTTCCTGAAAGAGCAGTTTCTGTCAGAGTTCTCTCAGCCCCACCCATGGCAGGGCTCTTTTTGTAGAAAAAGCCCAGCAGGAACTCATTAGCATAATAGGCCACACCCAACAGCAAAACTCATTAGCATATTAGGCCACACCCTGACAGCACCGCTCATTAGCACATTAGGCCACACCCCCATGTTACCAGAAGTGTGGTCATCCAGCCACACCCACCTTTCCCTTCTTATTCTGTTTACCTTGTTTGTTGTCAAAACCCAGGGCTTTTTTGGGAGCAGGAACTCCTTTGCATGTTAGGCCACACACCCCTAATGTAGCCAATCCTCATGAGTTCCTGCTGTTGGGTGTGGCCTATTATGCTAATGAGCTCCTGCTGGGCATGGCCAACTCGAGAGCCAGCCGGAACTCCGTTCCTGTGCGTTCCTGCCCAAAAATAGCCCTGTATACGGGAAAGATCGGTTTGGCGTTCTGTATCCTCAGTCTCTGCCTGACTAATGTTTTTGCTTGGCCTGTTCCAAAAGATAAGAGCACCTGGGAGGGGGGGGGAGAGACAATAAGTCCGCAAGGGCAAGGCGCAGGCTTTATGGGACAAGGATTCTGTTTTGGGGCCACAAATATGTCTGGCCTTGTGTCAGAAGTACTTGTATATACTGGAAATAATATGTACCTTCCGGTTTAGGTCCCAAGAGGGCAAATAAAGTTGCCTCATCAGGGACAATGTGCCATCGATATGTAAGGAGCCCAGAAAGTCACAGGGAGTATTGGAGGAAGCGAAAAGGGGGGGGGGGGCAGAGATCAGAAATACTCGACTCGTGGCTGTCGTATGTGTGCCCCCCCCCCCCCCCTGCTCACTTGGGGTCTTGCTTGTATTTTTTCCGTATTTTTCAACTGAAGCCACTTCTCCCAAAAAACTGGATAAAAGGGGGTGGGGGGAGAAACTCAACCCAAGATAAGACTGCGAACCAATACAAGATCTTTAGTACTCCCTCCCAGGGCTTTTTTTGTAGAAAAAGCCTGGCAGGAACTCATTAGCATAATAGGTCACACCCAGCAGCAGAAACCTATTAGCATATTAGGCCACACCCTGACATCGCAGTTCATTCGCATATTAGGCCACACACCCCATGTCTTCCCTTGGCTTCCCCGGGCAAGCCAGCCCTTAGACACGCCTCCCCGATCCTTCCAGGGCCCCCCCCCAGCCCACCCACCCACCTCGGAGTCACGGGGGGGGGGGCGCACTCCAGGCCTTCCCCCTGTAGGTCCTCTGTAGCCAGGCACAAAGGGTTTGGCTGTAGTGGCCGTGGCAACTCTGAAGCCAGCCGGAACTAGGGTTGCCAGCCTCCAGGTGGGGCCTGGGGATCTCCCGCTTTTACAACTGATCCCCAGCCGCAAGAGATCAGCTCCCCTGGAGAAAATGGCTGCTTTAGAGGGTGGACTCTGTGGCATTGTACTGTGCTGAGGCCCCTCCCCTCCCCAAACCACGCCCTCTCCTGACTCCACCCCCAAAGTCTCCAGTTATTTTCCAACCCAGACTTGGCAACCCCAGCCGGAACTCCGTTCCTGTGCGTTCCTGCCCCCCAAATAGCCCTGGGCCTGCCCCTGCCACAGCCCCATAGCTAGGGGTTTCTTGGCGGGGGGGTACCTTGGGGGGGGCCCAATTGCTAATTTCATTCGTGGAGCTCCACAGAAGCTTCTCCTCCAGTCTGGCAGCGGGACAGGCAAACAAACTGGCCCCCATTCCCCCGCCGTGTTGCCCCTCCATCCAGAGTCCGGCTCGTGCTTCCTCTTCCTCCTCCTCCTCCTCGGACTTCCCCCACCCAGTTTCTCAGGTTTAGCGGGGAGGATCGGGCTGCGTTTCCTCCCTCTGCATTCCCCTTCCTCCTTGCCCCATGGCTTCAGTCTGCCAAGCCTGAGAGCTGCCTGCTTCCCAGCCCAGGAAGCCGTGGCTTCTACCCCCAACCCGAGCAGGGGCCTTGCACTTTATCTCTCATTGGCACGGCAGCCAAGCGCTACCCCCCCCCGGCTGCCCCGCAGAAGGCGGCCTTCCCCCACCTCCGAACGCTCCCAGCCGCAGCCTCCGGGTGCCTGCGCAGGGAGGGACTCTCCTGTCCCGGCCTGCCTTAGCCAAGCCAGCTGTCCATCTCTCTCCCCCAGCCCCGTGCGTGGCGCTCGTCCCTTCTGCGGCGTGAGGATCATCCCAAGTTTTGGATTGCTAGCTATTGGGGGGGGGGGAGATGACATGGAGGTCTGCCCTCGCAGAGGAGGGAGAGCTTGTACCTGAAGGTGGGCCGGGGGGGGGAGGGCTCTGCAACTTACCAGTTTGGTGTGGTGGTTAAGTGCGCGGACTCTAATCTGGGAGAACCGGGTTTTGATTCCCCACTCCTTCACTCGCACCTGGCTGGATGCCCTTGGGCAAGCCCTAGTTCTGACAAGAGCTGTCCTTGAAAAAGAGCAGTTTCTCTCAGAGCTCTCTCAGCCCCACCCACCTCCCAGGGGGTCTGTGGTGGGGAGGGGGAGGGAAAGGAGTTTGTAAGCCGCTCTGAGACTCCTTTAGGTAGTGAAAGGCGGGGTATAAATCCAATCTCCTCTTCTTCTTTTACCTCCCAGGGTGTCTGTGGTGGGGAGGGGAAGGGAAAGGAGTTTCTAAGCCGCTCTGAGACACCTTCGGGTAGTGAAGGGCGGGGTATAAATCCAATCTCTTCTTCTTCTCTTCCAGTAACCCAGTGTGTCATCCCATTTGTAACCGGAGACTTCTGGGGGGTACCCACAAGCAAGTAATATATAAGAGGCCTCCCAGTTGGTACAAGACCAGAGTTATAGAAACAACCAGGGAAACGTTTTGTATATAATGCAATAGATGCTATATTGAAATTTTATACAAAGTGTAAATTAATTTTTAAAGTGCTTAATTCATGAATGTATAAAATGCCACCTATTCATACGTAAGAATCTCAATATTATAAACAGATCACAATACATTAAGAGAATCACAATACATTAATATATTAACGAAGCTTCCGGCCTGAGTCTTCGTTTCGCTCCTAAACTTCCTCAGAAGTAAATTCTCTTATTACTTCCTCAGAGGTAAATTCTCTTATTCATCATTTTGCATTTAGTGAGTGTCGTCTCTTTTATTTTCCAAGGTTTTTCTCTCTCTCTGCTTCTCAAAGCTTATGTTCCAAATAGGAAACAGCAACCTTCATATCAGGCTCCAGTCCCGTCTGCTGCACGCTATGAAATGCTAGAATGCCTATGAATAAGAGAATTTACTTCTGTATTGTGATCTGTTTATAATATTGAGGTTCTTATGTATGAATTAATAGGTGGTATTTTTATGAATTTATGAATTAAGCACTTTAAAATTTAATTTACACTTTGTATAGAATTTCAGATATGATAAAAACTCCCGACAATAGGAAGGAGCTCTTTTTCCCCTTGGTGGTTGAGGCCATGAGAGGAGGCAGGACTCTCAATTAAGAAGTAAGCCATTGACCATGCGATTGGCCTAGACAGCGGGAACAAACATAAAGGTAATGGTGACTGTGTAGAGATCTGTAACTTCTTAAAGCTAAAGAGCCTTTTCTCTGTTTTAACATTGATAGGGCATGTATAGAGAGAGGACAGAGGGTTGCATTTTTATCTATTTCTTTTGTATCCCTTGCTCAGATTTGGCGCTGGGCTAAAACTGTGCTCATGAACATTTTATTTTTAATAAATACATTATAACTTTAATGCTGGTAGTGGTTCTCTGTACCACGTAGACCCTCACTGTCTCGGATACGCTATCTTAAAAGGAACGCTAGGAGGGAGGGAGTTGGCTAGTGGCGATTCCTCCAGGGGTGCAAGGCAGTAAACTGTCCCTGTGGTGACCAGGCACTCAGCAGCTGGAGACACAGAGGCCAGGCCTCAGACCTTGGAAGGGAAGCTGGAAGCCTTGACTTTCCCAGCCGGTAATTCCTTACAAAGGTCTGGTGGTGGCGGCAGGCTACTGAAGAAAAAGAAAAGCCCCTCCAGGTGTTGAGAAACCCCTAGGA